GATTTTTTTATCGACACCCACAAAGTCTGATTGCATAGAATAGTAATAGCACACCTTCCCTCAACAAGCCATATGATTCGAGATATCATTCAAACCTGTAACACAAATGAGTTACATGCCAAAGTTTAATGCTTAAGGTAAAGAATTAAACCTACCACTACTGTAAATGCGGTATATGAGCAACTTGTAGTGCAACACCAGTCCATCTAATCATAGAGGAAGGCAGATACAGTCAGACACTAAACCGGATGAGCTATCTCCTATCTTCATCAGGTCATTAGATGAAACTTTGAAGTGTAGGCCTATTGTTCAGTACAGCAATACATGATATGCTTTGCAACATGGTTTAATAGACTAATGCGCTGATATATTATTATATATTATAGAGTTAAGGTTGCAAACTGTCAACCATTATATTATGTAGAGTATAAACTGAGTAAATCCCCAGTTTATCCCCAGACTAAACAGACAGATTCAGGTAGGCTATATTACACCACAAAATGAAGATGTCTTCAATGAGTTAGACAATTTCATAGATTTAATCTTGTGTTATCAACATTGCTGCCATTTCTATAAAAAAATACATACATAAAAAAAAACAATTATCAAAATGAAAGTATGCATTACGTCACTTAATTTTTCCACCAAAAAAAAAATGTGCTGAAGAACAACAGAAGAACATCAGTGGTTTAAATCAATTCTTACCTGGTGTAACTTCAAGAGAGTTCAACTCTGTATCTGTTTCTTTGACAGCTGGCTGGGTAGAAAAGTTATACAGTCCACAGAATGCACATTTCCAAACATCTCAGCTTTTTTAGTCTAATTTTTGACACCCTCATACTTGTTCACAAGGCAACCATGACCAAAAAATCGCCCCCCAGGTTGTGTATCAACGTGAACCTCTCAGTCTTCCCACCCCTCTTTTGAAACTGCTGAGACGAGTAAAATAAAAACTCTTTCACTCTCACAGCCTCTATCTTACTTCCTGTTTTTATCAGAACAGTCTGCAGGGTCCCGCTCTGCTGACCTTGACCTCTTGCTGCACCCCTAACTTTTACCCTCAGTATTCTTACCGTAAGCGTCCTACGGTGACATCGCAGTGTGTGTAGTAGGTCTAACAAGGCAGGCACTCCTTTCTCCAGCCAGAGATCACCGAAGTCAGCTAAAGAGTCTCCTCCTCTTTGTCTAGCCCTCTTATTTTCTTTCTCCTCCTCCTTTCTCTCACTTTTCAGCCTTCCATCTGCTCTCACTTTGCGTTGATGGGAAACAGGGAGTGCAGGCATCCAGCCTAGACTCATTCACTCACACACACACACAGACACACACAAGATAAACAAGGAAGAGGGGCGGCAACATGTTCTTTTCGGTGTTACTCTTTATTTCTCTACACTTGTGACAGTTCATCTGAGGATTCATTTACTCACTTGTCTTCTGGTGTAACAAACTGTCAAACTTTTATTCAGATCTCTGTACATCTCTCGGTCCCTTTCTGTTTCGCACTCACCCACTTACTAACTAGAAAAGTATCGATTTCCTGCACACCAAAAAAGGAAGCAACGTTTTCCCCCCCATTCCTCTAACCACCGACAAAGAGCAGCAGTACTGAGCATGTTCATGAATGACCACAAGGCCACACACACATAGAGAATACACAGAATATACACATTTACTTTACTATCTAAACAAGGACGTCTGTTGTTTTTATAAAGCTAATTATAATCACTATAGACAATCACTCAAATCCTAAAACCTTTTGCTTCTTTAAAATATATATATATATATATATATATATATATATATATATATATATATATATATATATATATATTTATATATATATATAATTTTCTTCTTAATGATAATAATTAAAATAAAATTGAATCAAATAAAAATACATAGGCCTAATATGTATATATTTTTACCAAATAGTATTAGCTTTATGTATTTAGGTTTTCCAATTACGGATTATGGAGGTTTGATCATATTCAGCTCACTTCTGGGAACAAATTTTTCCCCAAACTATAGCCAAGCCAAGAGAAAAAGCCATCACAGGCTGATGAAGCATTTCCATCTTGTAAGAAAATAATCATTACTAGTCCTGATACAGCACTTGTCAGGTAATAAAAATGCATGCAACATATTTTATAGAAAAATTATAGGAAATGATTATAGGTTACCTTATTATGGATAGGTTAAAAAGACATAAATCCATGAAAAGAAAACAGGTTAATCATACAAAGCCACACGATAAACACTCATGATGCAAATGCATGCACACACACATGCACACACACACGTTGGGTATCCATGTGTTTAATGAGGAATTTCCATAGACATTATGATTTTTATAATGTGCAAACATTCATTACCCTAACCCACCCTATCCATCACAGAAAGCTTTCGCACACACACCCACACCCACAGAGAGAGAGAGAGAGTACTTGTTTAACTGTCATTAAACACATTTCCATGTTTCCAATTTCGAGCATATTTCCAGTAATCATTTATAAGAGTATCCATGTTTGTCCATATATACTTACTATTTACAATTCTTCATCTGCTGGAAAACAACAAAGAACAACAACGTTCAGTTTTACAAAAAAGCAGACCAATGACCAACCCACCCAAAATGTTGAAGTGAAACAATTTGAACGTGACAATTTGAAGATTGCTTTACTTTAAATGAGAAAAAGAACATGCCTCAAAATGTATTTCATTCACCACCTACTAAATACATCCCACATCAAAATGCCATCATTAAATGCAAATATGGCCTGGTTGTTCTGAACAACATGCTTGGCAAGGCTGGACTTGAGCGAGCTCTTAACGCAATATAGACCGTCACGTCTATTGCAATCTCAAAATTCAGACACACTCTGTCAGTTCAAATCTAGACTAAAAACACATCTCTTTGACCTAGCATACACATAACACATTATAAACTTCTATAATTATATGTTAGGCTGCATAGATTAGGTCACTTCCCATAAATCCTGATCTACTTGTTACATCATAAGAAGGATGGCATCTACGCTAATAGTAGTCTCTCTGTTTATCCCGAGGTTTACCGCAGTCCGCCGGATCCAGATCTGATGAAGGACCTGCGCCTGGACCTGACGACAACGCAGTCCTGAAGTGTCAACTCTCCCCTGTGAAGGCCTCTTCCCTTCCCTTTACCTCTGTACAGATAAAACATTGTGGGGATAATTCTGGTTCACTTGGCTACGCGGAAGCAATAAAAAATTCTGTATCATACATTTTTCAAGGCTTGTACCTTGGAACCTATTTCATGGTTTGCGTTCCTGAGGCACCAGGCACTGTTTTGTGCAAATGAGAGGCCGGATCGCATTAAGGGTTTTCTGTTAGAACGGTGTCGTGTTAGCGGCCCCTAAGTTAATAACTAATGATCTTTGCAACGGAAGTGAATCAATCAAAACTAACTTTAGCTGGACAATAACTTTATTCTAGAGCTGCTGTAAAGCCAAAACAATCTCTGTTACTTTAATTTCCTATCATCACTGTAAAGCTGCTTTGAAACAATTTATATTGTTAAAAGAGCTATTTAAATGAAGGTGACTTGACTTGCCATACCTGCATCAGATTCCTTTAGAGGAACTTCTAAAGAGAGAAGAAACACTATAGCTGACATGCAAGACAACAGAAGAGAGGAAATTATTTAAGAGGAAGAGCCAGTCATATTGAGAGGTAGAAAGTAGAAGCGTAGGCCTTCCAACCACAGATCTATGCAACACAAATATCAATGCTTATTAGCAGCATAATGATGTTTGGAGAATGAAAGATGTAACAGACCAGAAGATTCATTCTTAGAGAAAAACACAAACACATTAATTCATAAATAATTTATAAACGAATTCAGAATATCAATTCAATCTCCTCCATAATTTAAAATACATAAATAGCTTTCCACATATTGACAAAACATAAAACATATGACCAAAAGCTTAAATTTACAATAAATACATGCACATGTGGTAGTCGTCTTTAGAGATTGTTTACACCTGTTTGGTTGTGCAAATATTACAAACAAAACAAAACATAACTCTATTACACCTCAAAAAAAGAGAGCATACAATCTACTTGGCACAAGGTAAACAAAGTTTCATACAGTACATCCCTTCTCATCAGCTGGCACTAGTTGGCCTATATTTGTCTTTTTTATTTGTGTATTTATCTGTTTTGAGACATCTGTGGGAAAAAAACTACGGGAAATAACCATGATCTTTGGAGTATTTGGAGAGGTCGGACCACAACTGAACCATCTTTCAAGTAAGACAAAGATGGTGAATGTATTGAAGGTATTACAGATAAGATTTCAGGATCACATTAGTGAACAGACCAATGAAGAGAAATGTCTATCTAAATGTGCATATCAATCAAAGGGTAGACATCCACTGTAAATAAATCTTGTTAGACCACTCCCCCCACTATAAGACTCCCATTCAGAAGGCCACAAAGAACTGTGTGGAATGAGCCCATAGACTCATGGTTTGGCAAAACTCCTGCATCTTCTTATATTTGATCTTCTTGCACATGTGCATTTTTCATAATGTCACTGATATCTTTCTTTACAACGTGCTTGAAACAATCGCAAAGAAATCATTAAAGTCGCCATGAAACGTCTTTTCTTCCACATTGTGACGTATATCTGAGCGAAACTGCTTCTCGAACAAGAACAAATGTAGACTTTTTATAGACTTGATAGTCCTAAGACTTGATTTTGTCCATGAAGAATTGATTGGATCGTCATGGCAGAAATCTCATGTGAGATGACCGGCTGTCCCAGCCTCGCTAGAAGTGATGAAATTTCCGTGATTTTTCCAGTCGTTTGATTCACTAGATCATTTTTGTACAACAAAATTGTAGATATTTCTAGCCGACAAAATATTTTAGTGATGACTACCTTTTTTGACATCACACTTTGAAAATGACCTGATATTACCAGATTTTCCATGGGACCGTGGGAACTCAGTAGTTGAGTAGTTGCTCCTCATGAAGAATGATGCAAAGCCAGTCAAACGATTACATGACACTTAAGGCTTTGAATAAACATGCAAGGTTTTATAAACAGTGTAAGTCCTTGTGCATTCAGTTTGTGAAGGCTTGTTTGTCTGTCAGATACAGTTAGGAAGTCTTTCATTTGCCTCAAATGGTCAAAGTCTCTGTTTTAATCAGTCAACTTTCATCATTATGGTCGATTGAAGAGGTCAACCTTCAGCTTCATCTTCACCTTCCCTCTTCAACAGGTCTGGTCTCAGCTTTTAGTTTGACGAACTCTTTGGCAACCTCATCAGTCGAGCGTTGAGAGAGGATTCGTAGTGCGGTGGTCCCGGTTTCATCTCTGTTGATACACGGGCCCAAAGGGCACCAGCACACACAGCTTTTCCGGTCTGCTACGTCACGCAGCTGCAGTACTGCGATCCCCACCACCCGGTCCGCACGACCAAAACAGTAATCCTTCACCGATATTTGAATCTCATAGCAGTCCAGACTCATGCCTTTACCCAGCACACTGAGATTGAGATGAAAGGAGGGGGAAAATACACATATGAGTAGATCATTCTCAGTAATATGACTTAAAAAAAAGTTTATCTGCCACCAAGCACTAGTGTTTTTCTTATGGAAAACGCTGGTGTTTCAAACCACTAGGGATAGTGTGCGCACACGCGGGTAGTCGACTACTTCAACCACTAGTCGGCGCTGTCGGAAGACATCGAGTGCTTGAGCGCGCAATAACCATATGACACGATTGTTTTTCTGAACGCAAACCAGCAAGCCATGACCGCGACCAAAGAGATGCGGCAGGAGGATGATGACAGTGAATAGACTACATAAAACTTTGTCTTATTCTATTATAAACTATTTTGAACCGGTTGAGTCAAGATCTAAGTGATGCAAGTACAGATCCTTATAGTTTTTTTTACCGTTGAAGACCTGTGAAATGCAATATGAAGAGGCTAATGTTGTATAATACCAGTGCTGGGTTGTAACTGATTACATGTAATCTGGATTACAGTATATAATCAGATTCCAAAAATGTAGTACTTGTATTAGATTATATTACGTTTTAAAATGCTCAATCAGATTACGGTTACTTTTTTATGGATTCCATATTATTCACACAATGGTAGTAAATTATTCATAATTTATTGATTCTTTATCGCCTTTTTTCACCTTGGTCGCCATTGGCTTTTGGTTTGCTTAGTTGGGGACATTTAATTTAATATTCAACAATAACAATATCTGCCTGCATTGACACCATTATATGAGAACTGAACTGGACGATGACATCACGGTTTTCTCCAGAGCGGCTATATATATATATATATAAAGGAACTAAATTAATAACTTTTTTACAACAAAAATGAAACATGAACTTACTTAAGCTGGACTGTGACACTATTTTCTTCTGGAAACAAACATTGTTGCACTATTTTCCTGTTATCTCTGTAAAGCTGCTTTGAAACAATCTGCATTGTAAAAAGCGCTATATAAATAAAGGTGACCTGACTTGACTTGATTCTTATATTTTCCTTTCTAAAAAAATATTCATTTTAATTTGACATTTTTATGCTTAATTAATCATTAGCTTTTCCATCAACTCACAATCCCCCTGCAGTTCTTTCATTAACCCCAGTTTGGGAAACCCTGGCATAAAGTACTGCTTAATGCATTTCATGTTGTTGATAAAGAATGGAAAATATTTTCTCCTTCTTTTTTTTTTTTTTTTAAATATCAATATGGTATACGATAATTGCATTCAAATCTAATTTATAAACGAGTAAGGTCAAAAGTAATCAAAAAGTAGTCAAAATACATTACCTAAAACGAGTAATCTAAATTACGTTATTAACTACAATTTTCGTCATGTAATTTGTAATCAGTAACAGACTAACTGTTAAAATGAATTTTATTAATACATGTATTCACATATTGTTCGATGTCAAAGACAGATGTTAAGGTTATAACGTTGCGTATCAATTTACAACGTGTTAATTTGCCTATGTTAAATACAAAATGAAACCCATAATTTGAATGTTTGTACAATACATGTAAGAGACATAATTGTAACAAACATTGGGCTGCCAATTAATAAAGACTTGTTGATATGATCTCTCTTTTTTTTTTTTTTATGTAACAAGTCACAAACTCAAGTAGGATAACTCGGATATTGTTTTGACAAGTAAATCAACTAGGAGAAATCAGTAGGCGTGCAGTCCCTACAAACCACACATTTAAATAGAGTAACATTTATGAGAGAGTTGAGAGTTGTTTTCACTCACAATTGAAATGCCTCATTGTACTTTGCAGTCCAGCAGTTGTTTTTCGATTTGGTTGTGAATTTCCGTTTCTTCTCTGCGAGCTGTGGGCCGACCAGGTTAACCTCCACAAATGGACGAAACATCCCTGAGGTCTGCCATTTCATGTCATTTACTGCAATCACTGAAAGACAAAACCAGTTTGTAAAAAGATGTCAGGGGTGTTTACAGGATTAAATCATCATCTCACCAGGCACTTAAATGCACAGATGAGAAAATGTATCTCTTCTTTCCTGTAGTGCGCTCACCTCTGACGCAGAGTTTCTGCTCAGTGTTTCCAGCTGGAGGCGACAAATCCAACTGAATTACTGACTCCCCTATCGGCCGCTCAACCCCGGAGCCTGTCAATCAAACCACTTCATTTCACAAATACTGTACATTCAACATGGTGCTCATCATTACAATCAGATATATGCATACAAAAAAAAATCTATTTTCACTTTTTATGATTGTGATTAAAAATTGTGGAATTATATGAAATGGGTTTTAAAAAATTCTAAAATGTGCTATTAAAAATTATACTGTAAAACCAAGCTGAAAGTATTTTACTCTAGTGATAGCTAGATAGTGAAGCATTATCAAATTAGTCAAAATCTTTATTAACCAAATATGTAATGAGCAGGGGATTTGTTGCAAGAGAAATGCATTTTCTCCTAAAATTCTAAAAAAAATTCTAAAGTATATAATATAAATATTGCATCAAGGTTTGAAAAAAAAAAAAAAATTAAGCAACACAACCGTTTTGAACAGCAGCAAATCCACATATTACAATGATTTCTGAAGAATCATTTACACTGAATACTGGAGTAATGGCTGCTGAAGATTCGGCTTTGAAATCACAGGAATAACTAACATTTAGAAAACACATTAAATATATGAATAAAAATATGCTAAAATAGAAATATTTTGTGAGCCAGAAATTGACATTTTGGGCCCACCTCGGTCAGGTCGAACATTCTCTTTGGGGGTGATCCTGATGCCCATTCCATTTTGAACTGCGAGAAGAAATGTTTCATTTAAAAAAATGTAAGAGTCAAATAATTTGTACAGATTGTGTGGCCATGTGCAAAGGCTGATAAAAGTCAGCCACTGAACATGTGTGCATGTGTATGTATCTCACCCTGAGCATGTTGTGTTGTCACAAACGTCTTGATAAGAGCATCTGTGGTCTGTGTATATAGGGAGAGAGCGTAACGCAGCGATGACAGCTCAGGGCTCTTCTCCAGATATGCTTTTTTTAAACCATTCCCACCAGCATGGAAAAACAGCTACCCAGCAGCAAGTTTGAGAGAGAGAGAGAGAGAGAGAGAGAGAGAGAGAGAGAGAGAGAGAGAGAGAGAGAGAGAGAGAGAGAGAGAGAGAGAGAGAGAGAGAGAGAAAATTAGCATGAATTTCCAACTGAAAAAGGTGCTACAGAGAGTAACTTGTTTTGTCTGACCAAGTTAGTACGTGTGAAATGTCATGCCTGTGGTGAGCAGCATTCTCAGATTGTTTCTCGAATTCTCTCTCCTACCCACACACACTTTCATTACACACCAATTGGAAGAACTCAAACCCCCGGTGCAGTGTGCAACATGTCGACTTGCTGTGACAGTTCTGTTTTTAAGCAGAAAGCCAACACTTTAATGTGTTGTAACTCAGCGGGTATGCCGTTTCCACCAACACACCTTGATTGCGTCCAGTGCTGCCTCCATGATCAAACATTGCCTTGGAGACAAGCTCTTTGGCTCCACCCCTCCCTATAATGAGAGAGAAACATTAGCCACACACACTTTCTTAGGCTATAGATTTTATGTTTTACCCATGTACTTATGGTTAATACCTTTAGTTTGGACAGTTCCTTAGCAGCAGTAAGAAGTTGAGCTCCCTATAGTAAAAACAAAAACAAAACCCAGAATATCTCAAACATCTGCCTGCCAGTATTGGCTGAAAAATATATTGTGTGTGCTAACTATAGGGACAGCATTATGGTCATGATGTCTGTCCCAGTACAAGTTCAAGATGCAATCACAATTTAAAAATAGTTTTAATAAAAAAAAAACTGAACAAATGGCTGTCTGAAAATCCGACCACATGTTACCACTTAAAATGGTCATCATGAAATTAAAAATGAGGCTTTGCATTTGTAAAATGCTTCAAATAAAATAAAACAAACATTTTCATTTTGAGGAAAAGCCATGCAATTTTTGATTTAATGATCATCAATGTCACTTTCGATTGCTACTGTACTCGTTGCTATCCCTAGATAGTATACCGACACTGACAATTGAAATAATAATAATAAAAAACACACTGATAATGACTGCTTTGTGCCAGTAAAGTAACATATATAGTGTTGTGAGAGCAGGAACAATTCTCAGTGCATCACTGTATGTTTCATGGGCAAGCAAAAATGAACAGTTTAGTTTTTGGTGTCTAACACTAAACACCATGTGTACATATGTCCTGTAAAATAACTCACTATACTGTCGCTGCTCTGAGGTAACACAATCGTTTTCTCCATGCAAATCAGAACATTTCTCCAAAGGTCCTTTAGCACACGCTTCAACACGGTCTTCTCACATGTGTCTGCAAAGATGCTGAGGCTGCAACACACATCGCACACAGACATGCATGTATATGTTACATTTGGGGAATTTCCCAGGGAATTTATGAGATACAGTACAAGGACATTCAACTCATGACAGATTATTATTCCACTTTCCTCTGCTCTTGTTCAGAAAAGCGAGTGTGCAAATAAATAGGCACACATGAAGACCCTTAGTGTGGAACAAATGACAAGTGATCTGAAACGGAATTGATCTAAATGTAACTGAAGGGAGTTGAGCTGAACTGACTTTGTGTCGAGGAACTCCATAAGCGGCCGCAGTGCGTTGTCTGCATCAGCCTCCACAGTGTTACGAGTGTTCTGATTCAGAGGCCCTTTAATCTGGTACAGGATCTCCGCCATCTGACGCATACATACGTTTATACGAGCCTGGAAACTATACATACAGAGAGAGTGAGAGGGAGAAAGAAAATTGTATGGGAATAAAGACTGAGGATTAAAATGAGGCCAACAGACAAGATGACTGATTATGACACCATTTCCAAAATAGAGTCTTCTGTGACACTTTTTATAAAGTCTGTTTATATTACATTCAATTATATAGCTGTAAGAGCACTCAAAATGAATATATAATATAATAAAATAATATCAAATATAAAATAAAATAGTATAATAGCGTTTACAAACATGCATAAATGTAATAGTATAGACTCCAGGGCAAACAAATGGCCCAAACCAAAAATGGCATGATATTTAGTGGTCGCAAATCACCGGTCAGGAAATTAGAATTGCACAAATACTGTAGATAAAGTGACTTAGCACGGAATAGCCTTCCCCAACTTGCATACAGATTTTTTACAGGAAGAGTCGTCAGTGTTGTTCCACTCAATGTTAATGGCTTCAAACAGTTCATGAGTAGTTGTCGAATGTCTCCCAATTCGTTTGAGTTTGATGTGAGACCAGAATTGAACCCTATAGTGAATATTTGGACTCAGACCAGGCCAAAACATGAGCCTGATGGACTTGTTCTCAAGCCACTACTTAGTTGTCTTTGCAGTTTGGGCAGGAGCATTGACTTGTTGAAAAATATATAAATACTTTAGATAACAACTTTTCTTTTGTGGGGAGCAAGCCATTCTGCAATATTCTCCTGAACTCCAAAGCATTAAATGACTTTTCACAGTGAAGTAGCTCATCAATACCAGCAGCTAAAAAGGCTTCCCACACAATGACACTCTTCCTCCACGATTCACTAGGGTAGAGATGCATTTATTATTATATATTTCTCAGATGCTTTCTTTGGAAGACACCGCTTTGGAACATCGCCATGCAACTCGTGTTTCATTGTGATTCACCACTCCACACACAACTTCCCATATTCTGCCAAATATTTCATTCTGTCTTTTTTTTTTTATAAGTTATGATTTTGGAATTTTTGTGCCTTTATTAGATAGGACAGTAGGACAGAGCAGATGAGACAGGAAAGCATCGGGCGGAGAGAGAGGGGGACTGGATCGGCAAAGGGTCGCCGGAGACGCAACTGCGCTATATATATATATATATATATATATACACATACACACAAGGCTATTGGTGCCAACAACTTCATTGTGATGCTCCTCCAACAGACATTCTACTGACTATAAGTAACTTTGCAACTACATGTCAGCTTATTCTATCCCTAACCCTACCAGTCTACAAATACTCTGCTAACACTCTAGTGAGAGTTAGTAGAGATGTAAGTGCAACGTTACTTATAGTCAACTGAATATGTTAAAGGGACCATCCAAATGAAGTAAAACCACAACTTCATTCAGTCTTTGATGTTTTTCCTGAGACAGCAATGGCTTTTTAAGTAATGCATTTAATGTTGCTAATTTCCTGACCAATAGTTTGTGGTTAAGGCAATTAAAAGCTTAGTGTTTAACCATTTTGGGCTTGGTCCATTTTTTTTTGCCCAGGACTGTACAAAATATAAATTGCTTAAAATGCAAAACACTCATAAAAACAAACAAAATAACAATGCAAAGCAACAAAAGCAACAAAAAAGTAACCTACTTTCTGAAGAAGCTACTATGACATTTCTAAGCAGAACACTCAGAAATACTGTAATAATGACATTCAGATGAAACTCAGGCACAGAAAATTAAGTTTACCTCTTTACAAACATGGCACTCAGGTTATCCACAACAGAATTAAGCTTCCCTTGCAGGTCATTGAGGATATCTGCAGCCTCTGTGTCGAGCTGTTGAGAGAGTAACACGTATACACACACACATACACACACACACACGGGAAGAAGTGTCAGTTTAATAGAAAATATGGCACTTAAACTAGGCAGAGGCGAGGAGAGGATGTAGGGAAAAATCCCCATGTCTGTTTGTCATGGTTCTTCAAAACCATCATGTAGGTGAAACAAATTGGACACGTTCTCTATTAAAACCCTTTTTCAACGGTAAGAAAAATCTTCAGCAATATATCTGTCAGAATGATCCAACAACAGCTTAATTAAAGCGGGACTAAAGCATACCAAGACAAAGAGTGCAGGAGTTACTATTTCATTCGCATAATGAAAAACAGTAACTACTGTTTATTCAGTTTAATGGTGCTGAAGAAAGGCAATTAAAACATATCACACAATATCGACAGTGGTTCTGGCAATCAGGGTGGTAAAAATGAGAAAACTTTCTCAAGTAGGTCTTATTTGTTCTTTGTCTTCTAGTCTATGGCTATTAAAACCTGAAAGCATCAATAAAAGGTTTAAAATATGGCACATTAGCATCTTTATCTACACAAGAAAGTGGCGCCAAAAAGTATTTGGACACTTTAAATCACAATATATGAATAGATAAAGTATCAAACAAAGTGGTATTATATTAAAGAAAGACAGCAAAAGTAAAATTTTCAAGCAAAACATTTTACAAAAATATCTTAGTGTTAATAGTATAAAATAACAGACATACTTTTATTTGGACACTTTCTGGTTGTAAAATTTTGTGGAAATTGTTACATTTTTTATTGTGGCTTAAGTGCACAAATACATCTGGACTTGCACTAGGGCCAATGAATGCACAGAATTGATCATAAATGCATGCGTGTCTGTTTGCACAATGCTATCACACTAATCACAGTGATAGGGAAAGTCTCTGGAGGAGGGAAGAGATAGCCAGGCTTCTAGCAAAACAACATGACACTGTCTCATTCACACACACACACACACACGATGATTATCGCACCTTTTTTGTGTCGACTGTTGCCTCTTTCTACCGAGAGACAGAGTTAAAATAACACAGGAAAACAAAAGAAAAGGCAAAGAGACAAAAATGATACAGCTGAGCAAATCCTCAATGGCACAGAGCCTTCTGAATGTTAGTATTGAGATATATGCAGGAATGTTTAAGTTTGAACTGAAAGAGAAACATCACACACCTCGTTTCCCTCATATTTGGGCTGAAGAATAAAATAAATAAAATGGGAAAAAAACATTCAAAGTCAAACTCAAACTCCAACAGCATCGGAGTATCTGATAGTTCTGATGTCTAATCTATTCGCTGTTCAAGGCCACATTCACACAGTCAGTGTTTGGGAATGACAACTGGATTTACTCATCACAGTGGACACAAAGTTTAATAAACGGGAGTCCAAAAGCGACTGAATCTAAAACCTCCATATGACAGCTCATATCTCCATCTCTGAGAGTTAGCGAAATCACACGTGAAAAAATGGTTATGTGAGTTTCAGTGGCTAATGTATTGTGTGATGTGTAGGAAGTGACGGACAACTAGTTTCTTAGTAAGGTTATGGTTTGTGAATGCAGCTGTGAGTCCAGAAAACACGGTGTCAGTTCAGGATGAAAAATTGTGAACAAAATAAAAAGGCTTTATCTGAATATGGATTCATCCCTACTATACTACCATGCAAAAGTTTGGGGTCAGTATGCTTTTCAGAGATTTTTGAAAAAAAGTATCTAAAAGTATTTAAATATTTTTTAATGTAATGTAATTTACTAGCTGAATTTTCAGCATCATTACTCCAGTTTTCAGTGTCACATGATCCTTCAGAAATCATTCTAATATGCTGATTTAGTGCTCAAGAAACATTTCTTATTATCATCACAGTTGAAAACAGTTGTGCTGCTTACTATTTTTGTGGGAAAGTGATTTTTCTTTGATGAATAGAAATAGAAATATTGTACAATATTATAAATGTCTTTACACTTGTGATCAATTTAATGAATCCTTGCCCGCATAAAAGTCTTAATTACTACTTCTTTCAAAAATAATTATATATAATGTCGACTCCAGTCTAACTGGGTGGTTTTGACTAGTCATGGGTCGGTCATGAATGTTTTGTTCATTTTGAATGATGTTTTTCTTTTTAAATGACTCTTTTGTTCATTTTATCATAATTGTGCATTTTCAAAACCCTTTCAATCATGAATGCATGACTCTGCTCCAAACATGTATCAGGGTGAATAAATCCTTTTTGTTTCCTGTAAATAGCCTATATATCTGTCACATAAAAGATAATAAAAAGACTCAGACCAAAAGACACAGAAGGGGAGGTGAACTAATATTTTTTTACATAATTTGTCTTTGTTTGCATTTTAATGATTTGCAAATTCAAAATATAATCAAAGATTGAATATGTGGACGAACTTGGCTATTGGAAATATAATGTTATAATTGAACTCAACTTCACATCACTAATTTTGGCCTAAAATAAGTAGCAAAGTTGACCAGAATTCAAAAGTCAAAATTCTGGCGACACGAGCCTACCTTAAACTACTCATAAAAATACATGGATTTTCCTAATGAGTATTCTAGACTTCTGCTCAACAATAAGGCTCTAAGACAACAGAAACAAGTTTAATAAGCATCTGTTACTTTGTTTACCAAAACAATGATCATTTATTCACTGACAACAGCTAAATCATATTGTTTGCCTGAGGCACATCATTATTTAAGCTTTGAATTATGGGTAATTGTTTCACATCAGGGCACAAGAATCCTATTCCACCTAAAAACAAGACTCTGACAATGAGGTACTGAAGCCCTAGGGACAGGATTACAGCTAAAAAACACACATCTCTCCTTCCCATCAGATTTCATACACACACTTGATCCTCACACTAATGAGACCTGGTTTTATCATGTTTCAGAAAGTACCACACACACACACACACACACTCTCCCACAAACATCAGCTTATTACCTCGGCTCCATCACCCACCTCTGTGGTAGTGTTATCATCCTTGAGACAGAGAAAAAATTACATTCAATATCCCACAGAGTCCTGTTGATCCAGAGACTATGAGGCAATGCTACCACAGACAAACACACACAGAGAGAGAGAGAGAAAGAGAGAGAGAGAGAGAGAGAGAGAGAGAGAGAGAGAGAGAGAGAGAGAGAGAGAGAGAGAGTTTGTGTGTGTGTGTGTGTGTGTGTCTGTGTGTGCGCGCAAACAAACCTCCTTCTCTTTGTCCTTCTTTTCCCCCTGATGCCAGAACATGGAAACAAACATATAATGACTCACAGAAACATTGAAATACACATACAACATAGGAACTATAAGCACATATAGGTCAACTCTAAATGAGCACATATTATACATTACATAATGCCTTATAATAAACATTGTAAGACATTGTATCATTTATAAATAACCGTAACCACAGTTAAAGGGTAAGGCAGGGGAAAGATGGCCCTCTTAAGAACAGTATGTATTTAGTGCTAAATTGTAATATATTTAAAGATGACTTTAGCATGTATAGAATGATGATGCATTACTCAATATAATAATGGAAATAAATGCAAACATTTGCTAATTAGGTTATTATAGCACACAATTATCATTAAGATGATCCCCTAACTGAGCCAAGAAGCTAAATGTTTTACATTTCTCTGATATAATTTTTAATGACTAGGTAAAAACATACATATCATGCGCTCTATCAATTTATTTGATAACACCCCCCCCCCCCCCCCCTCCCAAAATTTTAAATAAATAATATAATAAATATAATGTGATATATATCGATATTTTCTATTTTAATATAATTTATTCCTGTAATGGCAAAGCTGAATTTTCTGCAGCCATTACTTCAGTCTTCAGTGTCACATGATCCTTCTAATCTCATTCTAATATGCTGTTTTGGTGATTTCTTATTATTATCAATGTTGAAAACGACTGTATTGCTTAAATTTTTTGAAGAAACCGATACTTTTTTTTTCAGGATTCTCTGATAAAGTTCAAAAGAATGGGCATTTATTTTAAATAGACATTAATAAATGTCAAAAAACCTATATTTTGATTAATTTAGTGAGTACTTGTGGTCTCAATTCATTGTAACATATGAAACTAAATAATAACACTACCAAAAACATGCCACTGGGGACCATCTGCCCCATTTCTGAGGGGTGCAAACTTCAAAATTATAGAGTGGTACCATTTTTGAATTGTTGTACTATGTGCAACATGTAGCATCTTGCAGCACAAACACTGTGTTATTAGGATGTGTCAGGTTAGGACTACTTAAACTTAAAAATTCATCTCAAGACTTTGCATTCTATTCTATGCCTTCAGCTGCACTCCATCTTGTAGTTTTTGATCGATTATTGCTGTCACTTCAAAGTACTTCTTCTCATCCCCAGGGCTCTGACCACCATAGACATTCAGGTGATAAATACATATACACAAACTTTAAGTCAAGTACAGAACAACCGAAAATACTGTAAGTGCACGCACCTTTTCTTTCTTCACAAGAGACTGTAGAAAGTAAGAACGAATAAAGAGCCAATAAGAACAAAACCAAACCAAGAAAAACTTTAAAGATCTGATAAATCTAAAGACACACATACTGTAGATGAAATCAAACACAATATCTTCCGCATACAGAATTGAAGGGAAGGAAAGAAGGATCTAGATACATACAGTAATTCTACTGGGTAATAAGAGGAAGCTGAAGAAACTGGCTTCCTAAATATTTGATTCATCTGCACAAAGCATCCGATGCGACGACACGGACTACTGCACTACGACGGTCATACATCAAACTAAAGCATTTAGCTCACATAAACCCACCTTCTGCCTGTCAAGCTGTACAGATGAAAGGAGAGATGGTGAAAACAACAGTCAATAACAGATGGATGAATGGAAGGTGGTGAGGGTGACGGAGAGAAGAAAGCTGAATTTCTGAACAGGATCAGCCGAATGCTCAAGGGGCTGTTCACATAGGACGTGTTC